GTAATCTCCATATATGGTTATTTCAGGGAGGAGACGCACGTGCGCATAATCTCCCGCTGACTGGGATTTATAAAGTGAATTCTGCGCAGGTTCTGGCGTACGAACGGTTTTATAAATCTGAAAACTTTTGTGCGTACGCAAATTCTGCCTTATGTGCGTACGCACACTTTAAGGATGAAATCTACGCAAAGTTTTATACATGAGGCCCCTGGTCTTGCGCACCCAACGGGTCATTTTTGCCGTGCGCACATTCGCGCTCGTGCGGACGTGTCGAGTATAAACCAGACTTTAACTCCGTGTCAGCACGCGCTCTGATCAGTAGGTGAACTCCGCCTCCGACTCCGTTTCCCTCCTCAGCTGATATTAATATTTAAACATTCTCTATGATAAAAAATGTTTGTAAAAAATATTTTAATAACACGGTTTTGGCGGTTGTAGAGTTATGATGGTGTTCAAATACATAATGTTAGACTAACGTTAGCCAGCTTATAGTATCTTGATTCAGTATGCTAGTATTTATTTGAGATATTGTTTTTTTATTAATTGAGCAGCAGAAAAAATATTCTTTATATTAGTCATCCAATTAGTCATTAGATTAGTCGACTAATCGATAAAATAATCGCCCAACTAATCGTTTAGTTAATAATCGTTTACCCCAGCCCTACTGGATAGACATACTGTACTTGAGGGCCACTGTCCCTGCAGAGTTTAGCTCCAACCCTGATCAAACACACCTGAGCGAGCTAATCAAGGGATTGATTCAAGGGACAGTAGGCGTTTCTCAATGTCAAGGAAGGATCCTTGGAAGCCGGAATTTCGAGGATGCTACGTCATCGATGTCCGTCGAAGGACTGTTCCAATGTCGAGGATCCTCAGAATTTCAACCAAGGACCGAGTCCTTCGTTCGGAAAATATCCCATACACAGGAAAGGATGCATATGTGTAGCCTTCGCGCTCTTAAATCACCCACAATCCTATGCGCAGCTTTGCTATCTTGTTCAAAAACTAAAAAATGTCGACCGTTAGCGGAGTCGGAGTGATAACGGCAATATGCTTTCAAATGTAAGCAAGTATAATTTCAGTTTAGCCATTTATTTAATGTTTGTTAAACTATTTAACATATCGGCTCAAATTTGCTGAGGGGATTTAAAGCTGTTCCCTTTTACTGGTGATTAACTTTTTGATTTTTACTTCATATAACGTTATAGCCTTTTTTGTTGGTCACATAGATATTTTACAATTGCATGTGTTAGACAGCTAGATCATGGAGGTAGTTCTGTTAACTCCGGTAATATAATCGTTTTTGAATGAATAAACTCCTTTTTAAATCAATATTTTGTGTCAAATTACTGATTTATTTGGTAGGTGCCATGTTATAAGTGGGAAAATGTATAGCGAGGCGGTTGTTACAGCGAATAACGTTACAACCGGCTGATCAAGACCCCTCTGCTTTAGAGTTTGCGGGGTTGTATTCACTATAACAACCGCCTGGTTATACATTATCCCTTTATTTATTTATTTCTATGAGGACTGACAAGACAAAATAAGGACGGTCAAGTGTATTTAAACAGTGCAGTACACCAGCTCAATGATTTTTGCAGCGCCGAAGCGGACCTTTCACTGATGTAATGACGCAATGACGTGCACTTGCTAGCCTGTTCCATTTACGTGTTCTCCGAACGCTAAAGAGGACCCTTGCCTAGCCTCTGAAGGAAATGACTTGGAAGGACCCGTCCTGCCAAGGAAGTATCCTTGACATTGAGAAACACCTAGTGTCTGCAGGGACAGTGGCCCTCCATGACGGAGTTTGGGGAACCCTGAATTAGACGATGTGTCGTCTAAGCCACAGTTGACCTTTTTCAGCTATCATAGTTAGAATCTTGTTATGCAAAACATTTGTTTGATACTAACATTTCCTCTCCTATACACCTTGGTATTTTAGTTTTGTGAGCAGTTTTCGAACCGTTAGTACAGATATTGACTGTTTTTACACTGAAACGTTGCTGTGGCTGTGTTGAAGTTTCACTTCCCATGAGCTTATAGGTGAAGGATATGAGGGTTGTGGCCACTCGTGGACTTTATAATGTGTGTATATTTGCATCTGTGTGGGCGACCTTTATGAGGGTGTCTTTGTCTTAGATTCCAGAGATGCAAACTAAATTGTTCCTAAATGTCTTCAGTAAGTTACAGTACATGGTATGAACCTACACAGATAGTAATAGCGAAGAGTTTGTGTTTCACTATTGTAAAAACATGAAAACTTTGTGACGTGAAAAATTAAGAACGATGGTCTTCCCATAATTTCTCATTCTACACTTGTACAAAAACTGTGCATTCCCTGAGCGGTTAGTTTTCGCAGATATTGCAAAACATTTTTCTTTTTTGTGGGTTTAAGGACGGATATATATTTTCTTTGAAACCTTTGTCTCTTAACCTCTGAAATTTGAAGACTGATATGTACCGAAAGACACTCTAAAACATTGCATAGATTTAATGTTTTGGTAACACTTGACCATAAGGTTCCATTTGTTAAAATTAGTAAACTTAATTAGTTAACATGAGCTAACAATCACTTATTAATTTAATATTCTATTAATTATTAATACACTATTAAAATAAAAAGTTGTACTGTTAATGTTATTTAATGGATCTGCTAACATGAACCAATGGACACCAACCATTAACAATGATTATTAAATGCTGTAACAAATGTATTGTTCATGTTAATGCATTTAGTAACATGCGTGTTATCGATATTTTGAAAATGCCGAAATCCAATTTGTTCGGGGGCGGCTGGCCAATAGAGGGCGCTAGTTTATGAGCCAAATGCAATAAATAAGTAAATGCATAAATCATGTATACAAATTGTCAATATTTTTGTGTTTGAGATGTTAAATGCACCCAGTATACAGTATGTGAAAAATAAAATAGAAATTCAAAAGGTCTGTTTTTTCTACACCTTCCTGTAGTGCACGTGATCAGCACTGGGGCGCTGGAGGAATCGCCCCAGGAAGGCAGGTCTCTGGAGCAGCTTAGCCAATAGCTTGTTTTCACGTGACGTCATGCCACTGCGTTGCCATGGCGCGAAATGCGGATGGAGGGCTGGAAGTGATTTTCTATATTTAGGAAGCACTATAACACACTCAAAATGCCTATGTTTTGCGTCGTTTATGGTTGCGCAAATCGATCAAACCATGTGGAGTTTTTATTGTGTGCCAAAATTGTTGTTCATAAGGTTGGAAAATACAAGAAATTGACAGAAAAACACCGGGAAAAATGCCTTGCAAACCTACGTCTGCGGTCGGGAGGAGCCAAATGGGAAATGCCTGTGTGTGTGTGTGTGTGTGTACAGTGATCACTTCGTCAAATGTGAGTTAATATTTATGTGGCTTATAATTACATTATTCAGGTGTTTAAATACACTTATGTGGCTGTTTGTGTAACGTACCAGTTTCTGAAACTTTGTAAAGTCAAGTTAGTTTCTGATATCTACAGCGTCGATGGCAGGCAAATCTTTCAATTCAGTTGAAAATCGGTCCATTTCATAACGTAAGGATCACGTCCAACATATGTATCGATTTTCTGTTCATATATTTCTCTTGTAATAGCGTCTAAAGTAGTACAGTACGGATTTTCCTCCATCTCGTCCATTTGCGCTCTTCACTCCTTGCCCTCCATCTGCATTCCGCGCGTCAACACAATCACGTGACTGCAAACCACCTATCGCTGATTTAAGATATAAATGTTTGACATAAACTGAAGCCAATCAGCAAGCTCAGATCTAGTCAGCTATGGGCGATTCTTGTAGCGCCCCAAGCAAGCCTCTGCTGCGCCGGTGTGCACCACTACTAAAGTCAGGACAAGTCTTATTTACTGTACATGTGGAATATTTGCTTGAAAAATTACTCAAAATTTTTGTGGGTAATACTTTTTTTTTTATTTAATCAGCAAATTAAGTAATAACTAAGTATATTGTTTGAGTTCAGTTGCAATGTTTGTTTTTGTGCAAGAATGCCTCAACCTTTTAATATTGGCATTAAATAATTAGATTTTCACAGAGCACTGGTATTCTTAAATTGTATTTGGGTGGTTATTAATTATAATAAGAATTGTTAATTATAAAAGCTTTCCAACACCCTAGGTCGCTTTACAATATATGTTAAGACATAAAAAAAATAAACCTCAACCTCAAAGATGGCAGAAAGTAATATTCAGAGGTTACTTACAATAATCTGTTATAACATCCATAACAAGGCTGAGGCCTACATCAAAGCATATAATAAGCATGTCATGGAACCTTTAAAGATTGTGAGATGAAGAGTAATATTCAGGTTTTTTTTTAAAGTGTTTTAAGAGGTTTATGATGGAGAGAAGGGTGGATGCTTGTGGAAGAGCATGCCACAATGCTAAAAGGCCCATGGTTACCACACTATTGAAAATGCCAAATATGATACCTAAGATATGTTTCACCAGCCGCCACTGGATTTGGTAGCATCAGTCTGCAGACATTTATTCTTGTTTAATAGGATTAGAGTGAAAACTTGATATTAACTACAATGTTTTCATTGTCTTAATAGAGTAAAAGAGAACTCTGATTGAGTTCTCTAAGAAAGAGCACATGTCAGGACCTGTCTTATTTTTATTCTTGATATTCTTTCTTTTTTCTTTTAATGGATTCTCTTTTTTTTCTCCTGGCTGCTGCAGGTTCTGTAACAATCACTTTATCTAAGACTCAGTCAATAGCCCCAGCCAGCATCTTTTATTGATGCCACGTCTGACTTTGAATAATTTACCTCACTGCATCTGTAGTGTGCTAAAACTTTCATAGCCCCCTGTGCAATTCTACAACTTTGGAGAAAAGCGTACACTCGCTGTGAATGTATTCGGTCCACGTTTGTTTTTAGATACTGCTCAAAACAAACTCCTCACATCCAAGTCGATGTGTATCATTTTATAGTCAGAATTTCAGTTTTAATGACTTCAACCCTCTCTCTCTACAGAATCTTCCTGAAGGAACATCCAACGTCGGCTCCCTAAAACTAACATATATATCCAAGGTTTGTCATTTGTGACCAATGCTTATAATTAATACTTAACATTACATTATATTCACAGGACTTGATTGATACTTTAAATTGTGCAGAAATGGTTTGCCATGACTTTTCTACATGTTCAGATTCACCATTTTCTCCTGGGGATACAGAGATAAAATGAGTCATAATGGCTGGCCATGTAATCTGATCTGAGGTCTAAATGTATAATGAAACATCTTTTTCTAGACCATTATAGGAGTCTTCATCTGATTGTATGGTACAGTTTGTTCAATTGCTAACAAGCATCGGTCAATACTTTAGCTACATTTTCAAAACTTTTCTGCATTACCAAGATAAAAACTTATCCAAACAGTTAAAGGATTAGTTCACTTTTGAAAAAACTTTTGCTGATAATTTATTCACCCCCATGTCATCCAAGATGTCCATGTCTTTCTTTCCTCAGTCGAAAAGAAATTTAGGTTTTTGATGAAAACATTCCAGGATTTTTCTCCATATAATGGACTTCAATGGGAACCGGATGGTTCAAGGTCCAAAAGACAGTTAATAACTGTTTCAGATGCAGCTTCAAATGTCTTTAAACGATATCAGACGATGAATAAGGGTCTTATCATGCGAAACGATCGGTTATTTCAAAACTTATTCCAAAAATGTAACTTTTCTAAGGACACATGCTAGCCTTGCTCTATTCTGTGAGGCGCGTTTGCAACGTCACGTATTACGTAATTACGTTCAAAAGGTCACGGGCGACGTAGCCGAAAGTACAGAGTCAGTGTTTACAAGTTGAACACATAGGTTGAACGTGCAAACTAGCTCAAACACCGTTTACAAAAAAAGGAATTAAAAGGAAAAACAACGATGTCGGACGATTTTAATTCTGTACTTCCGCCTACGTCGCCCGTGACCTTTTGAACGTAATTACGTATTACGTGACGTTACAAACGCGCCTCACAGAATATAGCAAGGCTAGCATTTGTCCTTAGAAAAGTTACATTTTTTGAATAAGTTTTGAAATAACCGATCGTTTCGCATGATAAGACCCTTATTCATCGTCTGGTGTCGTTTAAAGACATTTGAAGCTGCATCTGAAACTGTTATTAACCGCCTTTTCGACCTTGAACCATCCGGTTCCCATTGAAGTCCATTATATGGAGAAAAATCCTGGAATGTTTTCATCAAAAACCTAAATTTCTTTTCGACTGAGGAAAGAAAGACATGGACATCTTGGATGACATGGGGGTGAGTAAATTACCAGCAAAAGTTTTTTCAAAAGTGAACTAATCCTTTAATCTCACTAACAAAACACTATATACATGTCTTTCACCACAACACTGCCAACAATTTTCATTCTGTAAACATACGTTTAAAGTTTGTATGATTATTTTCACATACATATTAATGATATGATAAGTATAAGATCTTTTCATTTTACTGACTGCATTACAACAAAAAATAAATGAAAAATGCAGCAATTTTTTTTTTTCTATATCTTTACATATAGTAATTTCCATGCAAAAAAATAAAAGTTGAAACGGTAACAACAACAAAATCCTGAAGCAATAATAAAAAATCAAATAACATGTCTAGTGTTGTGATATAACATCAAGCACGTCCCAAACTCACGATGGCCTTCTGAGAGAGGCGGCTTTCTTTGTACGCACTTTTGCAGTGTGCCAGACAGCATGAGCTCAGTTTCTTTTCAGGATATATTGCGATTATAACTCTTTTTAAAATCAAGCACATCCCACTCTTTATATTCTCATCCATGCATTTAATCACTCTAAAGTGTGATAATAGTGCTATATACCACGATATACACCATATATCAAAATAATTAACGATAGACATTTTATACCATGGTAACAATATATATTGTGAAACTGCCCAGCCCTGCTACTAAGATAAGCAATGTGAAGTCTTGATTTTGTAACAATTCGTAAAAAGCAATAAACGGTCATAAACGGCTCTTATCTGTATGATGTACCATTTTCCCACACCCAAAAATGTTTTTATTTATTCTATTGTTCAATATTAATAATCATTATTGTAAAGTTGAATTGCGATGTTGATCAAATTTTATTGGTCTCTGTCTATAGTATTCCGTTTGATTTTGGCGCTTTGAATAAAAGCTAAATGAATAGATGTAAATGTAAATGATTGAATTAATTGGTTAAATTGAAGTATTTGACAATACTTAACACAGCACAGATACATGTACTAAATATTTTTTTATTTTTTTATTTTATTGCCCTTACAAAGGTAAAATAAATTAATAAAAATATTTCACCTTAAAGTAAAAGTGAATTTCCAACCCTGATGTACACGTACAAACAGATTTCTCTTTTTGGGGCATAATGTTGTTATAGTGGAGAATGATTTAGTGCACCTTTTAAATATGTGTGTGTGTGTGTTTGTGTGCATGTGTGTACAGTGTTCTCAATCTGCTCTTATTCCTTCATTGAAGGTTAGCGATGCCACCAAATTGCGTCCAAAGGCGGAGTTCTGCTTCGGTAAGCAAGCGATTCTCTGTCTATGTTTCTCAGAGGATGCAGTGTGCAGAAGGAAGGGTGACCAAAGGGCATTTTAGACCATGACATCTGACCCCAGCTATTGTTTCTGAAATCAGAGCCAAGAGACAATCACACACTTGAGGTTTTGGGACTTTACCCTGTGGAGTTAGACTAGAGGCCACTGTCAAGAGGGTTTGAGACATCATATGTGTGAGCAGCATAATACAGATACTAAACTTAGTCACATATTGAGTCTCCTACTGTGAAGTCTTTAAAGGGGTCATGAACTGGCTTTTTAAATTGTGTTATATTGTTGTCTGAGGTCAACTTATGACGTTCACTTGGTTTTTGCATTCGTAAACATCAAAATGAATACGTAATAGGCTATTGTATACCCTAGTTTTGAGCCTAGCTGAAAAACGCTCGGTTTTTATGGGCGTCTCGCACTGAAGACTTGGAAGTAAACGTCCACTGCTGTGAGTGGATAACAGTTTTGCATATTATAATGAGTTTCAACTCACTCGTCGGTGCACGTGGGGGAAATTGTTTTGAAAACGTCCAATGTTGTAAAATGGCTACCGGAATGATTCGCCCATACATGTTCGTCCCAGAGTCCGTGTGTTGCACCATTCCTGTCAGATCCAATATAGACGGCACAGCACCGTTCTTTAATCTTTACCGGTCTGCAAATCCAGTCTTGTTTACAAAACAATCCTCAGTGAAATGAAGCGAACAGACGGACAATGTTTTACCTCATCACTGCATGGACTCATCAGTCCATGCAGTCTAAGCTAGGCCTAAGTTATTTAGCTATGCGTGTAATGCGCAAATCGGTGGGCAGGGCTTAACCGGCCGTGTTGAAATAGGCGTTGATCTTCTTCTGCGGGGGTGGTCTTTGACATCATAGTTCCCCACTTTGAAAAACGAGTCATTTGCTGAGGCTGGTGTCAATAAAAGCTTTTATTGGACTAACAAGGATGTTTTCACTTCTGAAACTTACAGGATATTCTTATAATATGATGACCTCTTAGATATCAAAAGCTCAAGGAAAATTTAATTTCTCAGTTCATCACCCCTTTAATATAAGGAGTTATTCACAGTCATTCCATTGTGCTGGTTTTCCATTGTTTTTCAATGTATTGTATTTTATTTTGGATGTGATTAATCGTGATTAATCGTTGCTCAGCAGCACTGAAAATGAACTGAAATAAAACAAAAACAGAAATTATGTGTAAGTTTATTTTATTTCAAGTAACTAAATAGTTTTATTGGTTTAGTTTAGTTAAGTTAACTAGTAACCCTGGTGTGCAAGTTTGTTAATCAGCATTCACATCATCCGGAATGAACCAAATTTTGCAGTCAAACAAAAAAGCACTAAAAGTATTGGTGTGACAGCATCAATTATTCAGGCCTAGAGTTGCACACTAAAAAGAGGAAGCTCCATTATGACACAATAATGTAATTATATCAACACCTCCAGATTGTTTAAATATAAATCTGTGTGTCTTCCCACAGTCATCAACGCTGGAATGAGGAAGTTTTACTTGCAGGCGAATGACAAGCAGGATTTAGTGGAGTGGGTCAGCGCACTCAACAACGCCACCAAAATCACAGTGAGTCCCTGAATTCCTTCCCATACAAGGATGTAACTCACTTCTTAACTACCATAGTATGATGCATCACTGTAGAAAATAACTAGAAAACACCTAGTCAACTTCTGCCTCATAAAAGTAACTAAATGTAGTTAGGGCCCAAGCCCTGAAAGAGCGAAGGCCCTATTGTTTTCCTTATGACATATATATATATATATATATATATATATATATATATATATATATATATATATATATTTTTTAATTCTATCGCCTATTTGGGCACTTTTGGGGCCCTTAACATGCTCAAACTTTTGAAACTTTGCACACGGGTCAGAACCCGTGGCCATCAGGGCCGGGCTGAAGCTGGTACCCAGACATGGCAGGGGGGCTCGACAGCGCCCCCTGCAACGGGCTCCGAAAACTTGGTCCATAAATCAAACACACTTGCGTGTAATAATATGAAACTCGGTACACATATAGATCTCATCGGTTCATATATACTTCACACTCTTACTTTTTATCCCAGCCCAACAGGAAGTTGGCTAATTAGGGTTGTTTGTAAAAAACATGCAATGGAATAATTTAAAGTACTTCTCTAAAGAATTCAAAGAAATGCCACGAAACTCGATCAGCGTGAAGTCAAGACATTGAGGATAAAAAAATTGGTTTGGCCGTGGCAAGGACACGAAATTATGGCGAGAAACATGAAACAGGAAGAGTGTTATAACTTCTGCATACATTAACTGATCTTGATGAAACTTCAGCAGTGTGTTCGCTGTTAGAGGACGATCACATGGATGTGACTATTGTGAGTCAAAGTTATAGCGCCACCAACTGGCAGCAGGAAGTGTGTCACTTTCAAAATGCTTTGAAATCACCCTTTTATTTTTACCCGATTTGCTTCAAACTTCATCTGTATAATGTAAATACACGGCAGATGTAGACCTGTGAATGGATTCTTGATATCTTTGATACTGTTACCGTGGCAACGCATCAAACTTTACCATTCTTTCAGAATCTCTTCGGGTGATAGTTTAAACTCAAAATCATAAATAGGGCTATACTGCCCTGTTGTGTCATTATATTTCCATATTTATTACTTATGTGACAGAGGATGTTGTGTTTTATTGTGAGTGTACACAAATATAGGTAAACAGTTTGCAGTCTGAATGTTGTCCTGTATGAATAAAATAACAGATTATGTTTCCTGTTTCCACTGTTCACACACACACACACACACACACACTCCGGCTTGAGAGAGGTGCGCGCGTCGAAGTGTGTGTGTGTGTTTGTGTGTGTGTGTGAGAGAGAGGTGGGGGGGGGAGGCGCGATTGAACTGAGCGTGTGTGTGTGTGTGTGTGTGTTAAAGTTCCCTCTGAGTGCATGCACTTCTGAAGCCACTGCCGCCCAGAAAATAAGAAAATGCCACACAGAGGACCGACACGAAATGTGTGGAAATCCATTTGATTGTAGTTTAAGTGAGAAATAATTTCAGTCCTCTGGTCAAACGCTGTAGTGTGAAAACTGGTGAGTGCAGTTTACAGCTTTGATAGAAAGAGAATGATTTGAGCATGTGTGATTAGCAGTGAGTCCTGTGTGCGGACAAAATAGCTCAATACGAGAGGCAACGAGAAACAAAAAGACATGTGAAATAAAATCACATCATAATGTTTAAAGAAGAGGGGTTTGATTAAAGTGGTGGAAATAACAGTTGATGGACACAGAACAGTAAAAATTACACACCCACCCACATGAAGTCAAAATACATCATTAGTTTAAATCGATGTTTTTTCTGTGTGGGGGAGTTTTAGGTATGGTTATATTACTATTAAAGGGCACCTATTATGCCCCTTTTTACAAGATGTAATATTGGTCTCAGGTGTCCCCAGAATGTATTTGTGAAGTTTCAGCTCAAAATACCCCACAGTTAATTTATTATAACCATTTGAAAATGTCATTTTGGGGCCTGCTTAAAAATGAGCTGTTTCAGGGGGTATTCCACCTTAAATGCAAATGAGCTGCATATCCCCGCCCTGCCTTTGGATGAGGGCGTAACTTGATACCTACTGAGAGAGTGAAGAGACGCGCCGTATTGAATGTCATTCAGCGTACGTTTGAATCGGAATATATAAATAGTATGAAGAGACTCCGGCAGAATCAACATATGAGAATGGACCAGTACGTCTCGGTATGGTTTTTTTGATACTTTTATGTACTTTAGAGTTGTAATAGCGTCCCATTTGAAATGATGGATGTCCAACACACACACACACACACAGACACTAGCGCAATTTTTTTAAACTACATACACATTCTGTGATAAAGTTTGCTACGTACGAGCGAAATTACATTTATGCGAGGGACCTGTGGCGTCATGTTTAGCTACTTGTCATAGGTGCTTCTGTGGCAAATGTGAGAAGATGGCTAACTTACAGAACACCAACATATATGCAGTTTTTAATACAATATATTTAAAAATATATATATTCATAAACGAAAGACTTCCTTAGATTTCCACGACGCATGCGCGAGAACTGAACTGAGGTAGTTGAAGGAGATCGCAATTCTCGCGCATGCGTCGTGGAAATCTAAGGAAGTCTCGTTTCAGGCCAACAAGGAAGAAAAGGAATAGTCTAATAAAGTCATTATTTTTGTTTGTTTTTTCGCACAAAAAGTATTCTCGTCGCTTGATAAACATATAGTTGAGCCACGGTAGTCACTTGGGATATTTAAACATTTTCTTCATTGACTTTCTGGGCCGTCAAGAGGCAGTCCCTTAGGCAGCCAATGTGGTAGTTATACAGCTCTCAAATTTAATCAAAAATATCTTCATTTGTGTTCCGAAGACGAACGAAAGTCTTACGGGGTTGGTGCAGCATGGGGGTGAGTAATTAATGACTTAATTTTCATTTTTGGGTGAACTAACCCTTTAAAAACAAGTACTCCACAGTTACTCTAGGAGTCGCTGTTTGACAAAAACAGCATTCCTGCCTGGTGTCCCTTTAATGGTGGTTAGGCTGCAAAACTGAATTCGTTGTGTACTGTACACATAAGACATGAAGTCCATTGAGCCGGGCTGGGCATGGCCGGGGTAGCAGGGGGCAGGGCGGTGCGGGGCGTGTTCGGTTCACAATGGGGCTGTTTACACCTGGCCACTTCATGCGTTTTCTCAGATCGGATAGCTATCTGATTTATCAAAACGATTCCATTTACACCTGGTCTTTTCACGATCGGATAGCTATCCGATCACAGAGAACGCATGAAGTGGCCAGGTGTAAACAGCAACAATGAGAGTATCGCGATTCAAATCGTGAGTTCGAGTATCGCGGTTTTTCGGTTCGGTTCCAATATCGTTACACCCCTAATTGCCAGGCATCCGGATTTCTGAAAAGTCAATATTGGCTTAATCATCTAATTAGGGTATTTATGATGCATGCATAATCAGAATGTTCAAAGTAGGTTTATCACTGGATCTGCTGGACCAGAACAAATTATTCATTCATTCTCTGAGAGGGAAAAAATATCAAAATTTCAGTATTTTTATTACAATAGCATAAAAAGCATTACAAACCTTGCTATATACTATTGATTTATTCTTGATTGCAAAACTGAGTTTTCAGCAGCCATTGCCAAAGTATTAAGTCAAATGGTGATCCCTTAGAAAATATGCTTATTTGGTGCTCAAGAAACTCATTATTATCAATGTTGAAAACAGTTGTGCTAATTAATATTTGTTTTGTGGAAACCTTGATACATGTCAGGATTATTTTGAATAGAAATGTCAAAATAACAACATATTTTTTTTAATAAATTTCTTTTTGTAACATTATAAATGTCTTTATTGTCACTTTTGCTCAAATTAATGTGTCCTTGCTGAATAAAAGGACCTGTAAATTGATTGTCCTTGTCTATGCTTTGGGAATGAAAAACCCTTAAATGCTCATATATAGAATGTCGATTCTTACACAAGTTTTTTCCTCGTTTCTTCTCTAGGTGCCAAAGTCAGGCGAGCAGGTGGCTCATAATACAGCAGAAGCGTGTGTGGACATGTCGGGCACCACAAAACAAGTGTCCTACAAGACCGAGATCATCGCAGGAGTGCCCATCATCACCACAACACAGGTCACACCACTGTCGATAACCCCATGACATATATCACATAGTTCATACCAGGGTAAAACTAAAACCATTAAAACATTTATATTAATTGAAATACAATATAAATATTAGTTGAAAAACTCAAACTAAACTTTCTTGGCAATAAACTGAAAGTTGACGCACTAAAATGAATAACTGGAAATAAATAAAAGCTATAACTAATTAAAACTAAAAAGCAATAAAAAACCTAATACATTGACAAAAGCACATCAAATTTCTAAAAACTAAAATAACACTGGTTTAAATACTAATGTAATGCATAAAAAAAAATGTTGCATTGCATTTGTTTTCAGGAAAAGGGTGAAGATCAGAATGGTGCAGACAGGAGCGGGCTGAGGAAACCTCATGGTCCGCTGCCGTATTACCTGAGCCGGAGTAACCAGGACCAGTCGGTCATAAAAGCCGGATTTTGTGTCAAGCAGGGAGCTGTGGTAAGTAAGAAGTGATAATGTGCCGTTAAATCAGTAAAGCCTGACATACTGAATAGTTTATTGAATATTTAAATTTAAATAAAGAAATAAATACAAAAAAAAGTTGATTTGTTTTTTGATGAGTAACATGTTTGATACATCAGGATTTTATGCTCATGTGACAGGATAATATAGAGCTCATACTTAAAGAGGGGGGAAAAAACACCTCAAATTTATTCAGAGGCCCAAACTGAGCAAAAATATGCAATTTGGTGTGGCTGTTGATATTTATATGGCCAAAAAGTATCATGAAATGTATAGTTTGTAATGTAAATCGGTGAGATCTTTAAGAAACAGTTACTTGCATAACATACATATATCAATATCAGCTTTCACTCTATATCTTCCAAATAATATGTTTTAGTAAGATAGTAGCTTTTATTGTGGGGGGCAAAATATACAATGCAATGATGATTGAGAAATAAACATTTCTCAAAAGTCTGACGTTAGCAATGTATCTGATATATCAATTTAGATAGACATTTGAATTTATGTAAATCAAGTAAACCAGCAGTGTTTATCTTGAAATAATAATAACAACACAAAAGTTATTCTTACATTAACTTAACTTTAAAAAAAATCAGTAAACATTTCACAGCAAAAAGATGTGTTCTTATCATGTGCAGATTGTGTACAACAGGTTTTTTTTAAGCAAAGTTTTTAAGTTTTTAAGTTGATAATTTAAAGCCTGTAGAAATGTGTGTATCCAATATATTACACAGTAGGCTTTATAGGGTTAAAGGTGTGTTTGCATTGACAAAATTTAGGGGAAATGTTACAGGGAAAAAAAGAGCCAGGTTGTATTGTCAGTGGCATAGCAATGTATAAAGCACAGTTCACACCAAAGTCACTTTTCAGACCAAGCAGCTCTCTGGCACATGACCAACTCAATCATAAACAAAATCTATGCGGGGAATGTTTTCGCCCCTATGAAAAAAAACTCCTGATTGTGTTGATTCTTATTAAAACTGGTTTTATTAGCCTTGCTGCAGTGTCCAATAAGAACATCTGTCATTACAAATGCATTACTGCATACATGCCTTCAAATTCTGCAAACTGAGGTGTTTTTTGTCTCTCTGTAGATGAAAAACTGGAAGAGAAGATACTTCATGCTAGATGACAATGCATTCAGCTACTTTAAATCAGAAATGGTCAGTCTCTCCCTCTCACCTCCTCCTCCATGTCTCCAGAGTCCTGCGTTTTTGAATGCTGCTAGAACCCATTGACCTGTTTGACTCTGTTTTCATTGTGTTTTGCACCTGTACATCCATGAGCACCTAGTAAGCTCCCATCTGATAAGTGAAAGTCCGGCCTGTGTATTGTTCATACCACCTGATCCAGTGTCCAATCTCATTTCAGCAATGACGCATATTTACGTATGTGCCCCCAGAATTAGACCAGTGACTCATGTGGGAGTGAAAGCATGTGTCTAGTGTGTGTGTTTGTGCGCGCATGTGCTTGGGTGGTTGTTTGAACTTGCTCACAGTGTTATGAATTCCTCTTGCTGTGTGTTAACAGTCTGTGTCTAAAAATGTCTGCATCAGTGGCGATTGCTTTAGGAATACATAAGAAGCACAATTCCCTTTTAAATTCCATCAGAAATTTGATCAACTTGTAATTATATTTAGAAACAAAAATAAGTTAGTTTTATTTAAAAATATTCTGATGCATTTTTTTGTACAGTTTCAATCGAAATTATTCAACCCCCATTGCAAATCAGGTTTATTGGCCAAATGTACAGAATTTTAGCTGGTTGCACTAAGCAAATCAAACAAAAGTAATTGAAATAGCTCAACACAACAAATGTTTCAAGTTGTTTCCCCTAATTTAACTGAATATGCAACTTTTAATGACTTCTGTAGTCTCAATTGTGGTCTTCAATGCACAGTACGCGTTCATGACACTCTATTAGCAAAGCAGTTCACTCGGACTCACCCAGTAAAAGCACACAATTTGTGAGAAATCAAGATTTATAAAAAAGCAACATAGTCGAGTCGAACTCAGACCAGCGGGCAAGGTCAGGATTTTCATTAAATAATGCATTCATTTTCAGTTTATTTATCACCAAACCCTATCATACACCCCCAGAACACTTGTAATACATATGACATGTTGCATTGGATAAATCTGTGATACCTTTGCATCTCTTTTTTTAAAGGGGTCATGAACTGGCTTTTTAAATTAAATTTTATTGTTGTCTGAAGTCAACTTATGACGTTCGCTTGGTTTTTGCATTCAAAAACATCAAAATGAATAAGTAATAGGCTATTTTGTACCCAGGTTGTGAGCCTAGCTGAAAAACGGTCGGTTTTTATGGGCGTATCGCACTGAAGACTTGGAAGTAAACGCCCACTGCTGCGAGTGGAGAACAGTTTTGCATATTATAATGAGTTTAACTCACCCGTCGGTGCACGTGGGGGAAAACGTCCAATGTTGTAAAATGGCAACCGGAGTCCGTGTGTTGCACAATTCCTGTCAGATCCAATATAGACGGCACAGCACCGTTCTTTACTATTAATCGGTCTGCAAATCCAGTCTTGTTTACAAAAAAATCCTCAGTGAAATGAAGCGAACAGACGACGATGTTTTACCTCATCAGCTGGAACGTCATTAAAAATAAAGTTTATCCATGCAGTCCTATTGGAATCCAGAAGAAGCTTATGCAGCGACTGTCTTCCACAACCAGGCACTGCACAATATTCTGTATTGCTCGGTAGCTCGATCCGGTTCGTCATCACAGGTAGGCATGTGTGTTACTTAGCTATGCGTGTAATGCTCGAATCGGTGGGCGGGGCTAAATGGCCGTGTTGAAGTAGGCGTTGATCTTCTTCTGTGGGGGTGGTGTTTTATCCTCTTTGTCGTTTGCAGAGGCTGGTGTCAATAAAAGGTTTTATTGGACTAACAAGGACGTTTTCAGTTCTGAAACTTACAGGATATTCTTATAATATGATGACCTCTTAGATGTCAAAAGCTCAAGTAAAATTTGATTTCTCAGTTCATCACCCCTTTAAAAGCTTGATGTTGGTCACTATTCACTGCTATTATGTGGACAAGCGTTTTGGACATTCTTTTGTGGTCTGAAAAAGAAAGAGCTGAATACTGCATTAGAACAGTACTTTAGTTACTTAAAGCAATTACTATTGTAATTTTGAAAGGTTCATTCCAATTTCAAACCTGGGTTTTGAAGCCTTGCTTTAAACATTGTGAATTACTTGCCCTACGTGTAAAATGTTTGGGAGTACGGATGGGTGGACAGTTGTTTGGCATATGGCATGTTTCCTCTTAGTAAAAAGCAACTTCCATGTCTTATTGCCTGATGAGGGAGCGATCATTGGCTCACTTTTCAGCTGTAGTGGTTTAAAATCCTGGTAAACGGTTATAAATTGTTTTGACTGATGGGGCAGAACAATGGAGAGTCGTTCCACTGTTCAAACACACAACTTCCTGTTGAAAGTTTTTGACAAACATTATTTCCCACAGATTTATAGTAGCCTAATTATTTTTATTCCCATGAAGTTAAGAATAGCAGAGACTGATCTTCTCCCTCAGACAGTGAAAACTATATATATATATATATATATATATATATATATATATATATATATATACAGTATATATACACTCACCGGCCACTTTATTAGGTACCCCATGCTAGTAACGGGTTGGACCCCCTTTTGCCTTCAGAACTGCCTCAATTCTTCGTGGCATAGATTCAACAAGGTGCTGGAAGCATTCCTCAGGGAGTTTGGTCCATATTGACATGATGGCATCACACAGTTGCCGCAGATTTGTCGGCTGCACATCCATGATGCGAATCTCCCGTTCCACCACATCCCAAAGATGCTCTATTGGATTGAGATCTGGTGACTGTGGAGGCCATTTGAGTACAGCGAACTCATTGTCATGTTCAAGAAACCAGTCTGAGATGATTCCAGCTTTATGACATGGCGCATTATCCTGCTGAAAGTAGCCATCAGAAGTTGGGTACATTGTGGTCATAAAGGGATGGACATGGTCAGCAACAATACTCAGGTAGGCTGTGGCGTTGCAACGATGCTCAATTGGTACCAAGGGGCCCAAAGAGTGCCAAGAAATTATTCCCCACACCATGACACCACCACCACCAGCCTAAACCGTTGATACAAGGCAGGATGGATCCATGCTTTCATGTTGTAGACGCCAAATTCTGACCCTACCATCCGAATGTCGCAGCAGAAATCGAGACTCATCAGACCAGGCAACGTTTTTCCAATCTTCTATTGTCCAATTTCGATGAGCTTGTGCAAATTGTAGCCTCAGTTTCCTGTTCTTAGCTGAAAGGAGTGGCACCCGGTGTGGTCTTCTGCTGCTGTAGCCCATCTGCCTCATTCCGGTTGCCATTTTACAACATTGGACGTTTTCAAAACAAAATAACCAGGGTTATATATGTATCAAGATATGTAAATCCAATTTGTTTCATACATTTTTGCTTGTTCCACAGCTAGCCATATTTTAACCATGTGCATACTTTTTAATTGAATATTTAAAAGGGGTGATGAACTGAGAAATTTCTAAATTTCCTTGAGCTTTTGACATCTAAGAGGTCATGATATTATAAGAATATCCTGTAAGTTTTTTGAACTGAAAATGTCCGTGTTAGTCCAATAAAAGCTTTTATTGACTCCAGCCCCAGAAAACGACTCTTTTTTTCTAAGTGGGGAACTATGACGTCAAAGAGAATAAAACACCACCCCCGCAGAAGAAGATCAACACCTACTTAAACATGGCCGGTTTAGCCCCGCCCACCGATTCACACATTACACGCATAGCTACAGTAAATAACATAGATTCCTACCTTGTGATGACAAACCGGATCGAGCTACCGAGCAAGCAATACAAAATATTGTGCCGTGCCTGGTTTTGCAAGAAGACAGTCGCTGTATAAACTTCCTCTGGATTCCAATAGGACTGCATGGATAAACTTTATTTTTAATGCCGTTCCAGCTGATGAGGGTAAAACATCGTCCGTCTGTTCGCTTCATTTCGCTGAGGATTTTTTTGTAAACAAGACTGGATTTGCAGACCGATTAACAGTAAAGAATGGTGCTGTGCCGTCTATAATAGATCTGACAGGAATTGTGCAACACACGGACTCTGGGTCGAATCATTCCGGTTGCCATTTTACAACATTGGACGTTTTCAAAACAATTTCACCCAAGTGCATTGACGGGTGAGTTGAAACTCGTTATAATATGCAAAACTGTTATCCACTCACAGCAGTGGGCGTTTACTTTCAAGTCTTCAGTGCAAGACGCCCATAAAAACCCAGCGTTTTTCAGGAAGGCTCAAAACTTTGGTAGAAAATATTACTTATTCATTTTGATGTTTTTGAATGCAAAAAACAAGCAAACGTCATAAGTTGACCTCAGACCACAATATAATAACATTTAAAAAGCCAGTTCATGACCCCTTTAATATTTTTTTTTCACAATTAACATATGCTGATTCCAAGTAATTTTAATAAATGTATTTTTAAAATGTGATTTAAATAAAGTCAAATATATGTGAATAATTATAATAAAATAAACCACGCAGAGATCTTTCCTGTTTCTAACCTGTTTTATCATCAACAAACATGCTTCACATTAGTTTTTTTTTTTTTTTTTGTTAAAAATGGAATTAGTATACACAATTCAAATACATAAATCTTAAATTTAGGTCTAAATTTTTTGTGTGTACTTAGTTTTCTGACCCTAAATTGTGATGTTGAGATTTGAGCCATGTTCAAATTTATTGTATAATACTTAATATATACATACATATGATCACACATCAGTCCATCTGTAAATAATGTAAAGCAGTGATACTGTACAAATATATCTAACACTCTATAAATAGTATAGCAATATATCTGTACTACTTGATACGTTGACAGCAAGAAATGTTAAAAGGTTTCATATTTTATACAGAATACAAATCTTGACCCATGTTCAAATGTAAAACAGTACAGAAATTATTAAATTAAATCAAATCAAACTGAACCAAAATGAACCAAACCCTGACCAGATTTCAGATTTCCGTTAATGGACTGCGATATATGGTGATGAAATACTATAATTGTAAAACATGACATCTTTGGTGACAAGTGCTTGTTACAGGAAGATACTGATTCAGTGTGTGTGTGTGTGTGTGTGTGAGAGAGTGGTTTAAAAGTGCACAAATGTGTATAATGACATGGTATTACAACCTAAAGATGGTTTGAGGACACTTCCTGTGTCCTCGTAAACCAAATGAGCTGAAATACATTCTAAACAGTGTTGTTTTTTTGGTTGTTTGTTTGTTTTATTTAAAAAATGTAGACATTTTTCTGTGATTGGTAGGTTTAGGGGTTAGTGTTGGCGGAGAGAAGATACAGTTTGTACAGTATAAAAACCATTACGCCTATGGAGTGTCCCCGTAAACCAAATATTCAAGTGTGTGTGTGTGCGTGTGTGTGTGAGGAGCGCAGGCATATTTAGGCAGGAATGAGGCTTGGTCAAAGGCTAAATCATACAGTAGATGTCAATAAAGTCTATTTCAAGGCTGATAATCACAGGCCTGCGCTCGCTGTGTGATTTCATCCTGCTCAGGCCTGCACTTCCTCTCTGCACACACTCAGCGCTGCTGGAATGCTTGCTCAGTGCTCGTTCACATGAATTAAAGACAATATTAATTAGCTGAATGAAACTCTTTTTTTAGGACCGAGAACCGTTACGAGTTGTTCCTCTGAAAGAAGTTAATAAGGTGCAGGAGTGTAAACAAAGGTTAGTACCGCTTCATTTGTGCTTTTGTTTTGTTTTGATTTTTGTAAAATTGTTGCCAAATATGCTTCTGCTATCTCACGCCATTGGCTTAGCCAGAGGTTGACGAACTGTTTAAAGGTGCCATCTGTCAAAAAAAAAAAAATCAAATTATACTCCATATTCTATACCAGATGGGGGCAGTATACCTCCAGAAAGTGAGTTGTGCCGCGGCCGCGCGCACTCTCACGTCTTGAAACAACACGAGTGCTGTTTTGCTCTCTCTCCCTCGTGCATATTAATTAAATCAATTGACGCGATAGTAAAAGGTTGGAAGACCGCAGTTTCACGTGGAGCATTTGGAGATTTTTAGAGATTAGAGACTCAATGAACAACATCTCAACACTAAATTAAAGGCCGTCTCATAGACGCCTGTCTCAAATACAAGCCGGTGCATTTTGACGATATGGGAAAATAAAAGCCCGGACTATTATTTGAAGATTCGTTTTGTTCATGTTACGTTTTTATTGTTAGTTTGAATTAATTTGACAGACAGCATTCACTGATGTTGACCAAGCTAGCACCATTCAGAGCTGCCAACTCTCACGAATTCACCGTGAGACACGCAATTGGCACTTTTCACACGCTCTCACGCCACACACAATTTTGTCACGCACAGAAAAGGACACGGAGACCGACAGACTAGACAGAGCAGGTTAGTTATGATATATTAAAAAAAAAACTCAGCTCTCAGATTCTGTCAATTTTATTACGCAATTCAAACAATAAGTAAGTTTTGGCGCTTGTACATGTTACACGACAGATCCCTAGCGCATGTGAACCGATCATCACCACTAGCTGGTAAAAGAACACGAACACTGTTGAAAGATACAGTATCCTACAACTTACCAAAATGTATTCCTCATGCATAAGTTCGACCAATCATTTTTTGAACTCTTCCTTGAACTGAAATGTAGTAGTGGGTTACTTTCCACACGATTGACATCAGGTTCAAGTACACAAGCCTGTGAGTAACTCCAAATCACATATTGCAGTTTGGCTGGTGGTTATATTGCCGGCCCACATACCGCCTCCCATGGCCGAAACTGGTATTATGAAACCTGCCGGGCCGGGGCTAGTAATTTAGCATGCTAATTCAGGTTAATATTTCTGCAGCATTATAACTTGTCATTTTTTTAATGACATCATCAACCTTATTTCTTCTCATTCTTTTGATGCGTGTAGCTCATTTTTTGGATATTTTAACCTCAATTCTTCCACATGGCACCTTTAAACAAATGTCACGCAATGCTCAATTAGTGTCTCGATTTCTTACCTAGGCCCTGGTTACACTTAGAATTAAGTTGCAAACTCCTCAATCAAAATTGCAGAACCAAGCACAATCTTCATTTTTTCTTTTTTGATAATTCATTACACTCGGATGTACATCACAATACGGAACATGCATATTTAATCCATCTGCAAATTTATCTGGATAGCATTGCACTCTATTTTGCATCTTATTTGAGTAGAAACATTTGCTCAACCTCTCAAAAGAGCAGATTCACTTAGATTCTAGATCATAAATATGCAATAATTTGAAGAATTACTTTTTTTAGGAAACATTAGTGACATTAACTTTTTAAAATGGCATCTTCTGGATGAAATCACACATTGAATAAATGGAATTTTTTACATTTTTTATTTATCTCCAGTCTCCAAGTTTATCTTAATTTTACCATGTGACAAATTTCACAATGTCTAAAAGTTTCACAGCAGACCCTTCATAATAGTGCACAAGCAAACATTAATAAACAATAACAGTTTTCTCATTATTCATCTGTACTACTATAATGCTTTAATGGTTGTAAATTTTCCCTATACAGTAATTATGTTGTGTCTGATATTGATTCCTGTTTTTAGTGACTTGATGATGAGGGACAATCTTTTTGAACTGGTTACTACCTCAAGAACTTTCTACATTCAGGTAGGAATGTCAAATTCCTGTAATATATATGTATTACAGTATGTAATTTATGCATTGATATTTGATGGTGAAATAAATGCATATTGCAATGGCGTTTCAGTGGCAGGTGAAGAGAGAGAAGAAAATAGCTTTATATGATTTGAGAATATGCATTTTTAAAAAACAAAGTAAAGTGTTGAGAATACAGTCATAACATTGTGAAATAAAATTAGTCATATTTTGGGAGAAGTCATAGTTATTTATTCAATTCACATTTATTTGTAAAGCACTTTTCACAATACATATCATTTCAAGGCATCACAATTTACATCACAATTTAGAGACATTTTTTTGAGAGGTGACTGTGTCCAAGTTATCTCCATATGTCCAGGTGTCAGTTCTTCGATAAAACAAGCCAGACAGTTAGCTAACATCATGTATTCATTTAGACAATGATGCCATTAAAGCAGTTATTACAAGTTGTGATCATAATGATTACAATATATAGAAAATTTGGCAGTGGTGCATGTTGATTCAGAGTTTGCTTCATCTGGATTTGGAACTGGGAGAGTGAGTCTGAGCCCTGAACATTATCAGGAAGTCTATTCCAGAGTTTAGAAGCCAAATGTGAAAACGCTCTCCCTCCTTTAGTGGACTTAGATGCAGAAGTTCAGAGTTTTGTGATTGTACTTTTCTTCTTTTAAATGGCTTTCTCTACGTAATACAAGGTTTAGAGGGTGACAAAGCAGCAGACCCAAATAGGCAAATTTGGCAAAAGAACCAGGGGACTTCACATTAAGGCACTTGAAGACCAATAAAAGCATGTGACTTCAAAATACATTGAAATGTCTCAAAAACAGTAGAAAATAATCAGATGTCTTCCAAACTCACTGGATGGTATCAATATCAGATTCAGCAATGGCTCAAGAATAATTATTTCATAATGTTTCAGAAAGCAGTGACAAAGTAGCAGTCAGTAATTTCAAAAGGGACCTGTTTATGACTTTAAACAGTTGCAAAAGGATGGCAAAATACTTTCCGGATCAGGCATTGTCAGTGGAAGAATAAATGAAGATTTCAGATGCAAAAGCCTCTAAGTGCCATTTGAAATTTTCTTCTAGAATGATAATTTTTATCAAGCTTGTATATTTAAATTCAGTAATTTCACTTAAATGGCAACGAAGATTACCTATTAATTGTCATTTAAGTGAAATTACTGAACATAAATATACAAGCTTGATAAAAATGGTCATTTTAGAAGAAAATTTCAAATGGCTTTTAGAGGCTTTTGCATCTGAACTCTTCAAATGGTAATGCATATCTTTTTCCACCTTTTCTGGTTTTCTGTTTATGCTTTCCTTCGTGTCTTGGTTGCAGTTGACAGCCGATGGCCATCTTTCAGCCAATAGAGCACAAACGAGGGCCATTGACACGGGTGCACATAAATGGTACGCAGGTACGCATGCGCAACAATAATTAGGAATGCGTAATGCGGCTTGTGTTACTCCGCGTTTTTGCGTACTTAATCTTCTCATCTAACTTTACACACGACATGTTGCTTGTCAACTAACTACCATCAGAGATGTCCAAAAAACAACAGACGTTAAGCAGCTTTTTGGGCGTTTCGCCACCTTCAAAGAAACGCCAACTGGAGCCAGAGCCAAAAAAAATACTTTTTTCAGAAAAGTGGCTCAAAGATGTGCCGTGGCTTGAAGCTAACGACGAGCGCACTGAAATGTGGTGCAATATTTGCCGCTCAAATCCACATCTAGCAGACAAAACAGGTGCGTTTTATAAAGGCTCAAAGAATTTCAACCATCCTTTATTTGACAAACATGAAAAGAGCAAGGAGCACACGAATGTGGCGCAAGCTATTGCTAATAAACAAGCTAGCCGAGAAGAAATATCCAGTCGCCCCCTTGCCAGATGGCGGGACAAGCTGAATGAAGAACAGCAACAAGCTCTGTTTAATATTTTTCTCCTCACCTTCTATAAAGCTAAACACGCACGTCCTATGTCTTCCTATTCTGTGGATATTCCTTTACTGAAGCGGCTAGTAGTAAATGTCGGAGGTGCATATCATTCACGTGAAGGGGGCACGCGCATCATGCAAAGCATCGCCAGTGCCATCAGCGGGGAGTTACGAGCCAAGTTGCAGTCTGCTGAATTTTGGGGGCTGCTTTTTGATGGATCTGAGGACATCACAAAAACTGAGCAGGAAATCGTTTACATTGTTTCTGTGTCCAGCACCGGAGAGTTTACCTCAGATTTTATTGGACTGATTGAATTGGGTGCTGACCGAACTGCGCAGGCCATAACAGACGGACTTGTGAGACTTTTCCAGGACACAGGCTTGGATGACTGGACAACAAAGTTGGTGGCTGTGTGCACAGACGGGGCTGCTGTCAACGTCGGTATGTACAACGGTGTTGTGCCAAAACTCCGGCAACTTGCTGCGGTCGGAGACTCCCTTGTGCACATTCTGTGCACCGCACACACAACTGCGCAAAATAGGCTGATCGCAACGTTCCTTACTGTGAGACATTTAATCACTCTGTGGTCAAGCTGCTGCAGTTTTATTTACAAAAAGGTGGAGCAAAAAAAAACCTCCTGAACTGAAGAAGCTGTGTGAAGAAAATGGGATATCTTTTGTTAAGCTGGGTAAGTTTCATAATATCAGATGGTCTGCATGGAGGCATGAAACGCTGTTAAAAATATCAAGACTATTGCCAGCCATTAAAATGCAACTGGCTAAGAGTGATAACAGTGACTTACAGCATATCTGCTCAGAGCGTTTTCAGTGCTTTCTGTCAAACATGCTTGACATTGGTAACATTTTGAAGACCACATCCATTAGGTTTCAGAAGGAAAAGCTGACCATTGGAGAATGTAAGGATGAATTCTCTTCTGCTTGATAGAGAAGGCCACAGGGCACATACTGTTTCTAATGCTGATGCTGACAGAGATAAGACAAACTTACTCAGGGGGTTAATTGAAGAGTTTGAAATTAGATATGACTCCCTCAAGTCATGTGATCATTTTTTAGTATTTGATCCTTCAACATGGCCTCAGGAAATGCAAGACCTCCACAGTTTTGGAAACGCGACAGTTTGCAGCATTCTCAAGAAATAGGAGGCCACATTGCAACTTGACAAAGACACCACTGTGACAGAATGGATGCGCTTAATGCAGGCAGGAAAACGCCTGGGAGCCTCCTCTGTGTATGACTTGGTCCAAATAGTAAATACAAGTAACCCAGATGCTTACTCCAACATCAACAAGGTGGTTAAGCTGTCTCTTACGCTACCTTTAAGCAGTGCAGCTTGTGAGAGGGGATTCTCACATCTCAACATAATTAAAACCAAGTACAGATCTCGTCTGTCACATGCTTGTCTCACAGCCCTGATGCAAATACACCTGTCAAAGCAGACCACAGAGACGTTTGACCCAAAGCAAACTGTTGACCTGTGGATGGAGACAGCTAATCAGAGGCTCAACCAAGGACAGGGAGGTGCATCTGCAGCATCTTCATCTACCATGCAGGAAGCTGAAGCAGAGGACACTGAAGAGGACAGTGGTGGTGGCACTGAGGAGGTCAGTGAGGAAGACTGCACTTAAGACCATGCTACATGTGTGAGTACCAAACACCATCTTCTGGTACTCACCTGAGTAACTCACTGATAAAGTTATGTGCACCCCTGGTCATTGATGTCTAGAAACATGACAGAAGAAAGTTTTTTTTTTTTTGGCATTCAGGCAATTCTCCTCTTGTTACCAGCAGTATCCCTCATGGCTGAAAAGCTACGTTTATATTCATCTGAGAAGGCCAGATAGATATTGCTTGCAGAAATCAGCCTCTTGATCATCTTCCCAGGACTTCAGTGTCACCTTCAAGTTTCCACTACCTATACACCTCAATAGATGCTCTGGTGGGTACACTAAGATGCTTTCTTTTCACCGTACAGGACCATACAAGGGAATTACGGTCTTTGGGCCAATAGGAAGGTTTGAGTGGTGTCAGAAGCTCAGTAATCTGAGTGAGGAAGACGTACAGAGAGATATATAATTGGCAGCCTGAAGGAACTGCACCTTGTTGATATTCTTCTTGGTCATCCTCGACTTCTGCCTTTGCTGGTGTTGTTTCTCCAGGATCTCCATAGACAAACGAGTCCACCAGCTGGCATCAGGTGTGTTTCGATTTTGCAGATTCGTAGAGAGGCTTTGTAACTCGTGCATCAGTGCAAGGTCTTTAACAAAGCTGTGCTGCTGAGTTTCCTCAATAGTCCACTGCATTTTCACCTATCCAAACTAGTGCAGGAAACACGTCCAGCACCCACGTCCTGCCAAACAGCTCTGGCATTGTTGAAACTGATGACAACTCAGCGAATGGAGAAAATCTGCCCAATCTTCAGCAGTGAGATTTTAACACGAGTGGCAGCATCAGCAGTCTGTCTTTTTCTTTTAGATTGGTTGTAAACTACAGTACATCCAATTACAGACTTGCATGCATTGTGTCCCAACTCTACAGTAGCTTGTGTGCAAGACAATGAATGCCGTTCAGTAAAGAGATGTCTTTTGTCAACTTTGCAATCATGACAGATGCTCCATTTGTGGAAATGCTGATCAGGTGTGATTTTAAAGAGTCATTATCCAAACCTGCTGTCAAAAGGGTCTTCTTAAAGGGTTAGTTCACCCCAAAATGAAAATTCTGTCAGTATTTACTCACCCTCATGTTGTTCCAACCCCGTAAGACCTTCGTTCATCTTCGGAACACAAATTAAGATATTTAAGATATTAAGATCGCTCCTTCATACAGTCCATAGGCTTCTTGAGGGACTGGCTCTTGCTGTCCTCGAAAAGTCATTAAAGACATCGTTAAAATAGTCCAAGTGACTACAGGGGCTCAATCTTAAGTTTATCAAACGACGAGAACACTTTTGTGCGCAAAAAAAACAACAAAAATAACGACTTTATTTCAACTATTCACTTCCTTCTCCATAAGCCTGTAAGTCAGTTAACGTAGTGTGATTGCGTAGAGCTACGTCACACGTAGGCTCACTATTGGCCGACGCTGGTCATGTGTGTGTGATGCGTGTGACGTACAATAACAATAGCTTACGCTATTAAACTAGTATCCTGACTCGTGCAGAGGGAGAAATAAACGAATAGTTGAAATAAAGTCGTTATTTTTGTTGTTTTTTTGCACACAAAAGTGTTCTCGTCGTTTGATAAACTTAAGATTGAGCCCCTGTAGTCACTTGAACTATTTTAACGATGTCTTTAATGACTTTTCGAGGACAGCAAGAGCCAGTCCCTCAAGAAGCCTATGGACTGTATGCAGGAGCGATCTTAATATCTTAAATATCTTAATTTGTGTTCCGAAGATGAACGAAGGTCTTACGGGGTTGGAACAACATGAGGGTGAGTAAATACTGACAGAATTTTCATTTTGGGGTGAACTAACCCTTTAAGAGCTTTATACAATGCCTCTGCTGTTGTTCCTTTATGTAGCTCTACAAGATCAAGGAAAATGCTTTCAATATTCTCTCTGCCTTTCACCCCTGCTCTAAAGAAAAGTGAAATAGATTTAACCAAAATTACATTTCATCAACTGTCAAACTCACAAAAGAATCATCAGACTTCAGTGCAGATATCATTGACTTTTTTATTCCTTTTTTATTATTTTTATCATTTATATTGACTTTGATTTTAGTGGCAATGTGTTTAATCATGGCGATACGATCTAAGTATAATCTGATTGTTTTACATACATGCAATTTTGTCCTTTATCAATTTTGTCAATCCAAGAATTTTGTGTTTTAATTGATGCACAGCCATTGGGTGTATTGTTTCCTCTATTCACCTTATTTTTAACGGAAATACAGACACAGCCAGTTAACATTTTTTTCGTGCGAGTCCCGGTCAGGGACTTCCAGTCACTGTCTAGCTATCTGACTTTTCACCGTAGCAGTTAATAAAACAAGTCTCCATCTCTGGATCCAATATTGATGACCATGATGAAACTCAAGTTGAATCGACTCCAGGGTGATCTTGCAAACGCTTTGCTGGGTCCCAGGCATTAATGAGCAGGATCCTCTCCTACTGGACAACCTTGAGTCCAGAGGCGAGTCATACAGCCATTATTATTCCAGCAATACTATAAAGCATTTAGTTGCTATTTCCCCATGTGGGCTTGTTATGTTAATTTCTTCAGTTTATGGAGGCTGGTGTAGTGACAAGTTCATCACTCATCACCCTGGAGTTATACAAAATACTGGAGTTATACAAAAATAAATAAAGATGACTTGACTCAGGAGTCTGGCTCCTTGGAGTAGCTTCGTCCCGGTGATGAAGTGTTTGCAGACAAAGGCTTTACCATCAAAGATCTGCTGTTTGAGAGAAGGGTTAAACTTGGAGCGTTCACTCATAAAGGAGGGCAGTTGTCTGATGAGGATGTAACTGCTACAAGGAGGATTGGAAATGTGCGCATACATGTGGAAAGAGTTATCAGGAGGCTCAAAGTGATCAAAATAATCTCCCAGACTGTACACATCAACTTTGCACTCAAAATGGACAAAATCCTCAGAATCTGTGCGGCCGTTGTAAACATGCAGGGGGAAATCATCCACGAGGATGCTGATTGAGCATGGATGTTTATATGTCAAAAAGATCCTGATTTCCACTGTAGATTAATATTTGTAAATAATTATTTGACGGCCTGCAGTGCCTTGATTGTACTATCGTTTTCACAAATGATTTGTCTTTAACATTCTATTTTCCAGGTATCTCTATTCTATTACATTAGAATAAACTAAAGCAATGGAATTATTCCAGTGGATATTGTCCTAACCACATGTAAATAAATAAAAAAGAAGACAAGGAGGCAAGAAGATATGGTATTTCACTAATGGAGTTTATTAACGGGTGTCATTTGTTTACTTTAAAGATAATTACAATTATTCACTTTTAAAATGGTAAAACAACATTAAATTTAAACATTTCACTTATGGCATTATTTGCAGGCTATTTAATGTACGTATTATAAATATTAATTATAAAACAATTACTATTAAAATGGTAAAACATCATCTTCATGTGTGATTCCAGCTCTGTGGAGTTAACCACGCCATCTGGGCTTGCAGAAAGCCATGGTGCTGTGACTAACTACTGACTCTCTTCTCAAATAAAAACCCACAGCTCTCCATCCATGTGTAGGCCACCTTCTCATTCTCCTGGCCATACCTGTTTGCAGTGTTTTCATGGTACCTAGAAAACAGGTGCTCTCTAAGAAAATTATCTGGCTCAGTAGATGCAAGCACTGTTGTTGCCACCTATTCCGGTTTTACCGGGATTGTCCTTCTTTTTAATAACCTGTCCTGGGAAAAGGCCACTAGGGGGGCCCCTAACTACAGATGATAGTCACTGCTCAAAGTAGCATACCTTCCATAAGATCGCCTCTGCGTGACTGCAGGACTTCCCCTGACGGCAGACACAGGAGCATCCTGCCATCTCAATATTGCCGGTTGAGGTAGTCAGGATCCATGCTGAGTGGACGTCAAACTTGCTTTGGCTTGGTTGGACATCAGCCTTCATGAATACTAGGTCATCGATGTTGTTATTGATAAACACCTTGTCAACTTTCCCACTGTGGAGGTACTGATACGCCTCTGTACTTTTTGTAATTGTGCTTTGTACACCCATCCGCACCAAGAGACAACACAAAATAATTAAATATGTCCATGTACATTATATGAGGCCACTTGTTCATGTCATCCTCCCACTCGTGAATCATTTGAGGGTGTGGCACTGTCCTGCCATTTTGATTGTTTAGCGATTTTTGGAAATGTTCCCACGACATAGCTTACCAATTTAGTTCAGCTAACGATAGTTTGCCCAGGGAAGCGAAGAAACAGAAGTGCCGCACAAAAACCGGAAGTTGGACGCATATTTACTTACGCATTCGAAAATAAGGCAAATACTTTAGGAAAGAAGGAACGCCTCCTAGCAACCAAAAATACAGCAACCCAGTGACCTCCAGGCTCTAGCAATATATTTTCTTTTGCCATTTTTCTGGTCATTTTAATCAGAGGTGGTAATTCGTGTTTGAAAGCCACTGATGTAAATAATTTCAAGCATGAATAAATATTTTAATTGATTGTTTTTAATCATATTTACCAAATGTTTTAACATAAAAACATTAAAGCTGTCTGTATTTTTCTATCTCAGTCGGACAGCCCAGAGGAGATGCACGGCTGGATCAAGGCTATCTCTGGGGCCATAGTGGCCCAACGGGGTCCTGGACGCTCAGCAGCCTCTGTAAGGATTTACTTTGTTTAGTGGCACATTCTGAGTTCTTACCCGATTTTGTGCTCCTCTGGATTTATTTGTCATTTGTGACGTGTTTTGTAGCCACCCACACTGTCCATGTCCTGCCCAACCAAATTTCAAAATGTCCCTTATTTATGTTGGCCGATGGAACAACCAACGTTCTTAAAAGGATAGTTCACCCTAAATCTAAACCTTTGTCATTATCCTCTCAAAAACTGGCCTAATTTACCAGACTTTACCAGACAACATACACTACTATACCCTATTTGTGTCTGTCTGTCTCTCTTGGGATTTTCACACTTAAAATAGTTAACCCTGGCTCATTCTAAATCCGAGGAATCCTGTGTAATCTTATTTCACATCACTCATAATTTACCTAGGGTTAACAATTTAACCGGGGTATTAACAAAGTCCTTTTAGGCAAGTCATGCCACTCGGCCGCCATCTTGGCAACTCCTCCGGGCAGCTATTTCGGACTAACAAGACCAGGCTCCTATCTAAATGAATGGGCAGAGTCAGAACTGCACTTTCACTGGTCACCGGGACATAAAAACTGCATGTATAGAAACAGCAGTAAAATATGATAAAAATCACTGAAAAAGTTTGATGACTTTGCTCCAAAATAAGATTTAAAACGCGTTTTTCCCCACAGGTTATACTTTTACTACGCAGGCGCAAGGGTTCTCTCCCTCTCTGTCATGCGCGCGCTGCACAGTTTGAAACACAGTATGTGCGCACTCTTGCTTGCTCGCTCAAGATTCCCGGGAGATTTGAACTAATTTGCGGTCGTCAGGGAGCCGCTATCAATCTGCGGGAGACTCCCGGAACTTCTGGGAGACTTGGAATGTCTAATATTTACACAACTCACACTTATCAAATCGGCCGCCCTTTTCAAACAGTAACGGATTTTCCGTTGTCGCAAACCTCAACTGTGTGCATGCGTCGGTTGAACCAGATGATAGGCATAAATATTTCCCGGCTTGACTGTTAAAAGCAGACGATTGGCTTTCCAGCGGGAGGGGCGGGACATGTGCATACAACTGCCATATTTGGTGTTACAGGTTTTTCCTATATAGTTGTATTAAGGATTTAGGGCCCTATGATTTCCGCATCACGGAATCGCGGACGGAGTTGCGGAATTGGCCAATTAACGCGGAATCTAGTGTTAAAGGGGGGGTTGACTGCTTTTTTTCTTTGCATGATTGTGTTTATGGGGTGCAATATAACATGTATTCGTGGTTTTTCTTTTTTAAAAGTCTTATTTTTCATAAACTTCACATTTATTGTCAGCCGTGCTCTCCTCTGTCCTCGAACGAGCGGTTGACTTCCTGAGTCTATGAAACCACTCCCTCAGAAACAGGTAATGGGCTCAGATTGGTTAGTTTGGCCCGGTGTGTTGTGATTGGCTAGACTTGTAGACTTGATTTGTCGCTCACGTTGTCCGGATGGTTAACGCCCATTACCTTTACGGGCAAACCGTGCATGTTATGAGCTCCGGTCCAGATGTAAATATGTGTCGAACTGCAGTATCAGTTTGAGGCAGAATCAGACCGATAAAGCTGCGATGAAAAGAGTCAAACAGAACCTCACCACACACGGCTCTTACTAAACGTTTCTGAATGATATTTTGCTACATTTTTTAACTTTATACACGTTTGTTTTACACAATAGCATCTGACTGGCAACAATAGCAACTGAATGGCTACTAATGTTATACTCAAACAGCGTTGGCATTAGTTTACGTTCTTGATCAAATCGAAAATAACGTCATAACATATATACATGAAAAATACATTTACAACATTAGTACTTATACAAAATTCAGGTCCATAATGTTTGCACGCGTTTGTCGTAGACACAAAATAGCATAACTAGTAGCCTAGTGAATAAAGCCAGCGCTGGCATTGAAAAAAAGTTAATAATACACAAGGCTACGTCTGGAATTATACATGCAAATACATTTAAAATTATGAAGTCTTAGCCTACTTACAGGTTGTTGCCCAACAACTGCTGCCTCTGGTTTTAAAGTTGGAACTGCTTCATATTTTAGTAACCGTTTCTTGTTGAATCCGGCATTAAATTCGTGGAGATTCTGGAAGCTTTTTTCCCTAAAAATGCGCAGCACAGAGAGCTAGATTATTTTAAATTTAATATACAGAATTTTGTGGAATTTTACATATTTTGTTTGAAATTCTGTTCTTGTGTGGGAGAAGAACATGTTTGGTAAAAATGCATGCAGACCGGGGGAATCAAATCTGGGTGACACAACCCCCACCCCGTCATTTCAGCTAGCCTACAATGACGAAATCAAAACAATGAGTGCATGGCGAAGCAACTCTCCTTTCGTCGGCAAAAAGTTAAGCAACTCAACTCGATAAGCCGTCAGTGCCGAGCCGAGCAGTTCGCACGTGACTTGTGCAGTGTTTTCCACACATAGACTAATTCACCGCTACATACTGCGTTTCGTTTTTTAACACTATTTACAACACGCAGCGTGCGTGTGCATTTGTATTTGTATCAGCGTTTGTATTTCACCGCTCTCCCTCCATCTCTCTCTCACTCACGCATCTCTCTCACATACACACACACACAACGTGCACACCGTGTCTGTCTATGAGCGCCGAACTGGACAAAAGCGAAGCGAACTCCGTGAGCGACACTGGGTGAGAGAGAGACAGAGTGTGACTTTATTTAAACTTATATAAACTAATATAATTTATATTACTGGACAGTTTAAAGCTCATAACCATATTTTGTTGTTACTTGAAGAGTGCAGTGTTATGTTGCATCATGCAGTATTTGTCCTAAAAAGGCTACTGAGTAATGTCTGTATTACTTCAATAAATTTAAGGTCATTCCTAATTTATTTGTATTTTTTAATACATTTTAATCATTAACTTTAAAAGCACACTCTTTTTACGACTAAAATAACATTTAAGGGGTAAAAAAAATAATTCCCAAAAATTAAAACGTAAAAAACGGAATTTGGGAAAAAAAATTAAATGGAATTTGGGAAAAAATAAAATGGATTTCATTGGGCCCTAAGGATTGAGGAAGTGGCATATCTCTATATGAATAGTCTCTGTTATTAATAAGCTGTCGTTTCACACTTTCCAATTCTAAATCCTGGGTTAACAACCATATTTTTATATTTGTGGTGTCGGTGTCACTAATTAGCTCAACGGCTCATTTTAAAATCTTCTGACATTTGGTAAGACATCTCCTTTAAACATTACAATGCTCATGATAACTTTCGTTAACTCTACAATAAGTAAACCCATTTCACCAGCTAATTAGTCCTCGACAGCGATGGCATAGAAATAAAGAGAGCTACCGAAAAAACAGAAGTTCAAAGACAATATTCTAAAGATGGCTGCATGCTTGTTTCTCTGGCACATTAGGTCTATAGAATAACACAAGATGCATCACTCATATTGTTTTGAATGGGGAAAAGTGGCGGAATAAGTCACGCCTTCTAAATAAGAGCCAGTCGCTGATTGGTAAAGTCTTCAGCTGCCTTTAGAAGCTCCTGTTCCTTTAGAAACATTTCAGGGATGGCTGCCGAGTGAAATTACTTGTCTTAACCCAGGGTTAAGCGCAGTGTGAAAAGCCCTTTTGTCTCTTGTTCTTCTGTGTCCGTGCCTAATGAATGTGCGCTGTGTTGCAGATGTGTCAGGCCAGACGGCTCTCAAACCCTTGTATACAGAGGTATACATCCTGCAATGGTGAATGCAGCACGTATGTGTTGAGATCAAACCCCTCGCGCTTTGTCCCTGTTTATTTGCACTCAGCCCCCTGCTTAGAGTTTACAGGCTTGTAGACTTTGAACAAGATCTGAGCAGGGAAGAGCTGCTTCACCTAAACAACCCAACCTCGCAGACCAACCTACTCATGCTAGAGTGACCTTTGACACCCATCATCTCCATTCACTCTTTTAATACACTTTTGGTTCATCCATATACTAAATATCTCATCCACTCATCTGATTACCCACACTTCTCTCTAAGTCTCAGTAATGCAAATATTTGATAATGGTGATTTACAGAGAGACATTTGAATGTTTTACTAGAGTAAAAAAAAAAATTTATTCCTTTTTTTTAATATGTAAGTTAATTTCTTAATATTTTAGTATACAGATGAAAGACAATTCTGAATGCAAATAGAATGCCAAAGACATTCAAGCCGCTTCTCCACCGAAACAACCATTCGCATTGCTTAACAGTTCCATTCCGTGCAGATCTGGCCAACCCGGGACGGATACGGTTTCATTTTTCACTGTGGGACTGATGACAGAGCTTTATGGAATGTAACAAATGCGTCAGTCGTTGCCTTGTTAACGCAAGAGTTTACAGATGGTATGAGATAAAAAAAATAGCGACAGCATTATGGAAGATCATCAGATATTTCTTTTAATTTTATTATTAACTCCGGTTAACTTTGTTCAAAATTATGCACTTGGCCAGCTATTGAGAAACTGGCAGCCAGGGAACAGACAAGTGACCAATCCTGAGTGGCGATGTCATTTCACACATTCGGCCGCGCCGAACCAAGCTCAAGTGGAATTGAAAAGGACATTCGTTCTGAATTGTAAAATGCTGTTTGTAAGTTTAGGTCTTTTTATTATTTGTCTGGAATGGCCACATTTTCATAATCATTAGCAACATCTCTTCCTTATATACTTTAAAGTATATATGATCTTCAACATATTACCAAATCTATATGAAGTGTTCAGATGCAAAAGCCTCTAAGTGCCATTTGAAATTTTCTTCTAAAATGATCATTTCTATCAAGCTTGTATATTTAAGTTCAGTAATTTCACTTAAATGGCAATGAAGATTACCTATTAATTGTCATTTAAGTGAAATTACTGAACTTAAATATACAAGCTTGATAAAAATGATCATTCTAGAAGAAAATTTCAAATGGCATTTAGAGGCTTTTGCATCTGAACTCTTCATATCGTATTGTAGGCTATTTATTATATTGAAATTTATTTCAATTTACTTGCATTTTACAATCCATTTCATAACCTCACCTGCTTATACTTTAAAACGTTCTTTGATGTTACAAGGATCTATTTTAGTTTTGGAATGTCAAAATCTTAATATTAGTGAAAAGAGAAACTAAATTGTAATAAGTGGTGGGAATGGTGAATTCCACATAGGTGAAATGAGAGAATGAATCTAGCACATTTTTTTGGACACAAAGGTTTTTACTATTGTGTGACAGTCAGACTGACATCCTAAACAGGAAATAGCATAATCGCAGCATAGATTTTTTTTTTTCTTTAAACTTAAGAGGCTCAGCATAATGATATAAAAAAAAACAGCAACATGCACACAAAAAATCAGAAGTGTAATTTCATATGTTGTGATAGCATATGTACAATGATATGTTGTAAAAATATATGGACTCTATTCTCATCTCTGTTCTAGAAAAAGTTTTATTCTACATAGTGGCAACCATGTTGAGGTCACATGACCAGCCTTGAAGCAAGTTTATAAACGCATTATACATGAATGCACCCAATAAGCATGAAACAGCCAGCAAAACAATTAAAAATTACTTGGTTAAGCTTTTTAAGGATAATTCAGTAAAACGTCATAATTTACTCACCCTCATTTTGTTGATTTGAATATGTGTGAACTTCCACATAAGACAGCAAGTACAGGTTTGGAGTGACAAATTTCATTTCTGGCTAAGTTATCCATTGTGAAAAAGAAGTGCACTTAATTGTATCGAAAATGCACTTCTAGTGTACTTACAATTTTAAAGTAGATTAAAACTATTCTACTAATATAATATTAATGAAATGAAGTGTATTAAAGACGTGTATCATATATCATTTTTATCAGGAGAACTTGAAGTTTCAATCTATCTCATTTAAATAATCCAATTTTACATTTAATTTGTCTTAGAATGGATGAATTTACCAGATTTAAGAAAAACGGCAGCATATTTGTAGTGATTTTTTTTGCTCAACTCAAACAAATCCTCCTGAAGTTTGGATTTTTTCCTTTAGAAAGCTGTACTTGGATATTTTACATTTCCAGATGTAATTTTGACTACATGTAACAATCCCTAAGCAAGTTATAGGTATTTATTACAACATTTTTATAGGCGATTTTTAGTGAAAAGCATTGTTTCAGTGAAAACAGTGTTTTTCATACTGACAATTTAGATGTGTCCAAAAAAGTTAAGGAAGTAACATAAATAGAAACATTGTAGTAGAACAATGAAGCAAAAAAAAAAAAAAAAAACTTATATATAAATAAAACTTATATATATAAATACACACACACACACACACACACACACACACACACACACATACATACATAGCCTATATGAACTACTTTGACTTTACCTATCTTCAAATTTCTAAAGAAGATGCTAATTGGTCGTGCAAAAGACCAAGAACTATATTTATTGGTTGAGTAGATAATAGTTTTAACCAATCTGGGGATGGGGTGGGACTAAGCATTAACAGTCATTTATGATTGGCTCAGAGGAAAAAAACACACGGGTTTCTTTGACGAATCAATGCTGATCAAAACTTGATGACGCAATCACATTCACTACGGAGCTTCTGAATGTCCAAAAGCGATTAACCCGATATCACAGAAAAGCCGCAAATCTCCTCTTTATGGGACTTTTTAAAGCATACGGATTGGAGCAGCGGTTCAAAAGTTATTTAACATTTAAGAACAACAGTTGTTTTTAGCCGCCGGCGGCTGTATTGGTCTGGGTTTTAAAGTGCCTTAAAACATTACATTCAGTTTGCTCTTATTTTTTATTTATTTTTTCCATAATAAGCACTCTTTTTAAAAGTATTCCAAAGTGTACTTCTTTTAATGTTAAGGCTTGCTCACACCAACACAAATGTGCGTCAGGAAAATTCAGTCGTATTTTTGCATACTATTTGTCTGTTCATATCAATGTGGAGGGAACAACAATGAAAAGGCAAATTCACTCCAAGACAGTATGCATGCGAATGTTCGTATCGATCTGAACAGACGCATTAAAAAATGTTCGTTCAAATAAAAATGTAAACATTCGACTTGGTCTGAACAGACTGTTAGTTTTGATCTTTTTATCCTGTCTGTGACTTCCTCTAATGCCGTTTTAGCTGATGTCCACCTCTCATTCTTTCCTTTCAGAGATTAAATGTGACACTGAGACACTAACAATCCAAAAACGAGCCCTTCTTCTGCACTACCAGCTGTCCTGTTCCTGCTATATCCCAGAATGATCTACAGCCTGCCACTTGCTGTAACTTTCACTTCCACTGTTTGCTGTCGTGACCCATATCCTAATCTGTCCTAAACTTCCTGCTGTACCTCTTTCTTCACCTGCTCCTTGTTCTTGAGTTTTTGCTTCGTCTTCCTTCTCTCCCAAAGCTGTTTTCCCAGACCTGACTATTGCTGCAATCTAGCCGTGCTGTTTCTATAACCGTTACTCAATCTCCGCAGGAGCACGCTGAACCCACCTCCATGTTCTACAACAGCGAACCGTGTCTCCCAAATCCTCGCTCACCCCTCCTCACCGAACTCCATTACCCAGAATGCCGTCCCCCCTCGGGCCCTCAGCATGGCATGGGAGGGGCCAGACCTGAACAGCTTGCCGCCTGGGGCTCGAGTGCGCCTGTCGCTCCAGGAGATGCCCCAAATCTTCAAGTAAATGTTGATGACTCCTCACCATGGCAACAGAGAAGCAAAGTAATCCAGCCTCCGGTTTGCCCTAAAGATGAAGAGCGGCAAGTTACTGGGGTGTAACAAGGTGTATATTACACACACACACATCACAACAAACTATTGACGTCAAATCAGAACAGGGACTCGAGCCCAGTGTATCATGGGATATGGAGGACTATGGAATTTGGAGTTTTCCGTGGTCATTCTCAAGCCTTTCAGAAGACGTATAACACACATTTATAAACCAGACAATTTGTTAAAGAGGCTATATATAGAATAATTTAAATGTATGAATCGCTTTTTTATTGGCAATGTTTGAACAGCTTGTAACGTAACTTAAAAAAAACCAGACCTTCCCTAATTTCCTAGGTTGTCTGCGAGAGCCTGTAAACTGTTTTTTTATGTGAAGGACTGGGAAGGTTTTTGCTGGGGAAATCGAAAGGATGTGATGTTTCAAGCCCAAAGTATACTTAGGCCGTCCCCATTCTCCAATGGTCCACTCCGCACACTGTCCTGTCCTGTTTTTGTGTCCGCACGGACTGTGCACGTACTATAGTGCATGTGCGAGTGGCTTGAGTGCTTGAACATGGCAAACGCATCTTTCCACACTCATGATTCGAAGAGTATACTTTTTAAGTGCACTATCTAATGGACTGCTGTTTTTAACGCTCTGTTCCTCTGTGTGGACAGTGCGTGGACCGTTGCGGTACAGTAGGTGGATGGCCAAAGTATACTTTGGGCTTTACGCTCACTCTCTTGAGCCTCTCTTCTGTTCTATGGCGCATGAATTAAAGGCTTATACAATGTTCAGGATAAGGCTGAAAGACCTATTCTGTACTGTTATGTACATCAATGTGTCATGCAAAGAAAAGGGATTCATTCAAACTGTAGTCTCACATAGTCAGATCTATTTAGTCCATAGTCTCAAATATAGGCCTACTTTACAATCAAAATATATCATAACAGTGTAATTATTAGGGGTGTGACGAGACGCTCATCTTTTTTTTTGCACAAATTTTATAGAAATCCTCAATGATAAATTCATGAGTGGAAAAATAGTCTGCAGGTCCATTTTGAAATGTTTTAACGAATAATCTTGTAATGAATGTCATTTCAGTTCTACTTTGAGTATGAATTATAAAATGCATGGAACGACAACAATATACAAGCACTGTAAGGTTTTGCCACAAACTCAACTGACTCGCTTTTCTCCTGTATGATTTCACATGAGTCTCTTCAGATCCCCCCTTTCCATATGTAAAACACTTTGAGTTCCCAGAAAAGCGATATATAAATGTAACATATTATTATTATTATGAATTATGAGCTTCCAGAACTTCTGATGGAGGCTGTGTGTGACCTCCTAATTGAACTCTTCCACAAATTGAACATAGAAATTAAAACAGTATAAATAGTGCAAGTACAACCATTATCAATGTACTCCCAGTATTCAAAGTACAAGCAGAGACCAGAGCCACAACTACACAACCCAGAGATGGATTTGATATTGGGAGACAGGCTTTCATACAGCCTAAGTTGCACGCATCAGGGAGCTTGCGTTTTACTTTCACTTTTAAATTTGTCATTGCGCGTACTCCGTAGGGGCAGTGCTGAGTGTGCATTCTACAAGATATGGGGCCGTTAACACAGAATGTGTTTTTACTTTGTAAAACGTGAGATGCTGGCAGTGGATTGGGGGGGAAAAACACCATGTCTCAAGATGCTTTTTTTAAAGTTGATAGAACTGATTTTAACTTCCACGTATTTATCTTGGCACGATATCTCATCACAACCCTAGTAAATATTAATTACCTCAACTGTCCACATGAAGCCAGTGAATTGCAGTGCTTGTGCAAACAAGCTGCAGTACACGTAACGGTGTCGCTAATAACAAAGGTTTCTGAATTCTACATATAGCTCCTTTAAGACAAAACGTTCATACCAATAGCCAGTAATTATTTTCCTTTTATGGCCAATAGGCGATATTATGGCTGAAATTATAAATATATTGTGCCCCCCCCCCCCCCCCTTTAAAAAAAAAAAAAATCAGGCATCAAAACTCTTAACGTATGATTGAAAATATGGATGTTTAATACTTTTGCTAGGCTATATGATTTAAACTGGGAAATATATTGTTTGAATAAAATAAGGTATTTATTTAAAAAGAAAATCAACATATAGTTCTGATTGGTTTCATTTGAATTATTCTGGTGCTTTTATAACCTTTTTGTTGGGGTACACGGCTTTTTCCTACAGCAACATATTCCTCTTTTAGAGGCCATTGATCCTTGGTGGTTATGTTTATTGTCAATTTAATTTTCTTTTCTTCTTTGAATGCTTCGTGTATAGATTGAATTGGACTTTGTTACAGTGTTTGACTACAACATAGAAATAGCTTTTACTGATATGTTTCATAATGCTGTAGAGAATGTTTGTGTTATTATATTTCAGTGCTGCCACTCTTATGGCGAGTTAAAGGTCTCTTTTTGGTAGCACTTATGTTTATCAAATGCATGTGAACGCATGACTCTATATTTTTACAAAGAGAAATACTCCAGAGATGTTTGATAAACCGGTTAGGCAAAATGGTTTAATTTGTAACAATGGTCAATGCATTACACAGGCTATCACAAACTAATGATGAATGGTAATTTTTCACAATCGAGATCAAAATTAATTATAACCTTCCTATAAATGTTTGTACTTTAAATGTTTTTTTTTTGAGTTTTCAACTTGAAATGTATTTATGTACAATTAGCAGAACATTAATAAATACTGTGAGTATTTTTGTTGTTGTTAGTTCATGATACCTAATGAATTAAGTACCTAAAGTATTGAACCTAAAGTATTATCAACAAAGCAAAGGCATCCGCAAAATGCTGCTGTATGGACCATTTTCACAGACTGATCTTGCATTTCCACAATTATTAACATTGTAAATCTAATTATACGTTTTTAATATATATATATATATATATATATAAATCATGTACACTTTGTGTTCCCTTGGCAATAAATGACAAAAGTTGCTGATGCGTGAATGTTTCTCCAATGGCTGAGGAGTGACGGCAAATTTCACATTTACATTTATTCATTTAGCTGCCACTTTTATACAAAGCGACTTACAATTGCCAGTGTTGTGCAAGTTACTTCCAAACTGTAATACATTAGGTATTACTTGTTACTGTTTTTAAAAGTAATTCATTACCTTACAATATTACTGTCCCAGAATTGTAATGCGTTACATTACTCATGTATTACTTTTGAGTTACTTTCACCAAAATAACTAAGTAGAACTTAACTTTTGGGCTGTAACGATATGCAATATGAAACCAAAATCGCGATTCACCACACTCAGATCCACGAACCTACAGAATCGCAACACACCTCTTCCAACTCCCAGCGTTATTCTCCTTACCGTCCATATCCAATGCTGCCTTATTTTAAATTAGGCTATTAGTATTATTTGAAGTTAACATTATAAAATACGTAGACCTACACCACAAAACTAGTTGAGGATAAATTATTTAAAATTGGCGAAGTCAATGACATTTGCAGTCAAAACTTGAAATAAAAATTCTCAGAAAATTAATGTATTGAAACGTATATAGGCTACTTCCTTAAAGGACTCCAGACATTAGACAAATATCAGTCTATGTTTTATTTTTAATATTAGGAAAAAGACGCACATTCATGCGTGACAAAAAAAAATAGGAGGCAAAATACATTTTTTGTAATTCTGTGAATTACACTGCGCAAATCGGATGAGGAAGGGTTGGCTCTCCAGTCTCCATAGAACTTAAAATGGTCATTTTATTTTAGTTTTCGCATTTATGAGGAAAAAACAATGTTACAGACGCGACCGCTCTGAACTGGCACTGAAAGACTGCTTTAAAACTTTCACATAGTCTGTTGCCTTTAAGAAGTAAAAGCAGACAATACACTGTAATACAACTGTAATACAAGCCTCACTGAACATGTAACGAGTAAAATATTACTGAAAATTGATTAGTAATGCCTTACACTACTGCGTTACAGCAAAAAGTAATATGTAACTGTAATGTATTACTTTTGTAATGCGTTACTCCCAACACTGATTATTAGCAGATATGTATAATATAGGCTACGCTACAACAAATTATTTACTGTGAGCCTCATGCATGAATCTTTATTCTGAGCGAACACTTTGACTCGTGCAAGGTGCCTTGTCCAGCTGGTGTTTGTCGTTACCTTTTCAATAAGCAGGTAAAATTCATGACAGTAAAATATTTAAGTAGGCCTTTGTCGGAAGTGTACGTTATTCATTTGTATACAGTTGCATAAAACTGTGATTATAGCTTGGTAATATTTCCAATATGGCTGACTCAAATGTATCATCAGCCATCCAGTTCTTGTACATCAGTGCTTGAGCCCAGGCTCTGACTGTATTACAGAAACATCCTGCCTCAGAATCATATCCTAACCAAATTTCACGCTCAGTTTACTTTAGAATGGATGTACTGTTCATTAAAGTAGAGCTTTGAGAAGCCTGATCATGACACGGTCATAACTAAAAACTCAATCCAGTGTTGTATAAGATCAGCTCATACAGATTCAAGTCCAGGCTGAGAAGATTTAAATAATTTAGACCACATTTACATTACATGGTTCAAGTGACCCAATTCCATTTTTTTTTCTCCCATGTGGCACAGATAGGATATGACCCGCGAACGTGTAAGCAAGAAAAACCTTGAGACACCAATGTTTTACTTGACCTTTAAAGATGGTGCAGAAAAGCAAAAGCTTGTACAGTTTTATCATTTTGTCCACGTCCATTGCAAACCCCGCCGTTTTTACTTCCTTTTCAGTAGACTATGTCTACTTTCGGTTATTTTGCCAAGTGTACTGTATATTGTAAATGCAGATATGGGTTACTTTTAAAAGGCGCGTAAGCAAAGTCTTGTGGGGTGTTCCAGGTATGCAGTGACTAGTACTGACTACCTACCAAAACTTCTCTTTACCTTAGGGAAAGATGGGAGCAGGATACACTGTGGGAAGGTCTGTGGAGGCAGTGCTATGCTCAGGACAATGTTCTGCTTGGAAACCTTGGGTCCTGGCATTCATGTGGATATAATTTTAACAGTACCACCTACCTAATAAATTGAAAAGCACGTACACCTTTCATGGCAAGGATTTTCCCTGATGGCAGTGGCCTCTCTCAACAGGATAATCCATCCTGCCACACTGCATTCCTGAACAAAATTGTTCAGGAATGGTTTGAGGAGCATGACAAAGAGTTAAAGGCATTCCCTTAGCCTTAGCAAATTCTCCATTTCTCAATCCGAATGCAAATCTATGTGATGTGCTGGACCAACAAATTCGATCCATTGAGGCGCCACCTCGCTACATGAAGGTCTTTGTGATAGACACCACAGGACATGTTTAGATGCCTTGTGGAGTCCAATAAAAACGTGTGTGTGTGATTTGTTTTGTAATTAAATATCCGAATGATGGTAAAAGTTAGTTCAGACCAACCCGATCTCACGGGAATTCGTACGAATTTTACGAGGTGGCTAATTCTTAACAATTTGTACGACCTCACTCGTACAAATTAGTACGATTTAGCTAAATCGTACATATTTTACGAATTAGCAAATTCGTATGAATTCGTACGAATGACCTACCCCTGACCCCGCCCCTAAACATAATCGTCACGTGGGTTTAGACAAATCGTACAAATTTGTACGAGTGAGGTCGAATGAATTAGTACGAATTAGCCACTTTTGAATCACTCGTACGAATTTGTACGAATTGGTCGTGAGATAGGGTAGTTCAGACATAGTCTAGCCATATTTCCATATATATTTTACCCCTAATGTACTGTTGCAGTACCATTTTCAAGAAGAAAAACACTCAAGTCAAGGGAGTAAAATCTATATTGATTCATATCATGGATGTCTAAGCTCAGTCCATCCAGAGACTATTTCAACATCCAGAATATGAATATTTCTTTAGCAGCAGTTGAAGATTGACGCTTCAGTTCTTCAGGCCTGTTCAGCCTTTCTTATGATGTTCATATAGTGCCCTCTGCTGGTTTGCTTCTGTTACTGTACAGTTTCTTATTCACAACAGCAAATGTCTTTTGTCACATAAAAGAGAAAACTACATAACAACGGTACATTTTAGAGGGCTGTCTTATTTTGATTTGATTGCTTTTTTTCATCTTTCAGTGTGCGCTCTCAAAAAAAAAGTACCTTTAGGGACACACCAGCTTGGGGCAGCAGCCTAGCCTTAAAGGCCCAAAATTTTAATTCTGGCATTATTTACTCACACTCATGTCATTACAAACCTGTATGACTTTATGTCTAATGTGGAACATGAAATAATATTTGTTGGAATGTTGGTAACCACGTTTCTATTCTTGTACCTTTGAGTAATATCAACTCGTGAGGTATTTAAAAAGTGTGTTTGCATTTTTATGGTAAGTTAAATTCATTTTCCTATTCCAAGATCATAAAGAAACTAAGAGTGGATTTGACTAATGTAACTGATAAATGGTAGGAGTTCATTAGATTAATGTTATTTATGTGGAAAAATGGCTCATGCATATATTTAAAAATCCTCTTTTAAATTCATGAATATTTGTCATAGGAAGGTTTTGGCTTTTGCTTAGGTCATGGCTGATTTTTGGGTATTGTTTCTCTGGCCAACACATATGGCTACAGTAGATCTCATCTCTGCAGCCATAGCACTGCAATGACCAAAAAGCAGCCAGTTGGTGGTGCTATGACTTTGACAGCTGAAGTTTCAATCAGTCAATCAATGTATGCATAAGTTATAACACACTTCTTCTTGTATCCATTTTTTCGCCATAAACGCGTTGCCTCACCATGGCCAAACCATTAGAGATGTAAAAAATCCGCTTGTAATTTAGCGTCCTCAATGTCGCTCCAGTGGCTTTTGTAACATTATTAAATCTTTAATACATTATCTATCATCCATAAAATGATTTCTTCCCGAGTCCTGTCATATTCTCCACCAACTGTAGAGGTAAAGACAACAACTCCCATGATTCTGCGAAATCAACGCTTCATCAAGTTACGCCTTTGTTTTGAATAAACAACCTCTAGTGGTGAAAAAT